CAGCGCCGCGTGGGAGGCGGGCAGGGAAGGCGGCGGGCGGTGCGTCAAGTTCGGCTGCGCTCGGCCGCGCTCGGGGCCAATCGGGAGCACGCGGAGGGCTCGCCGGGCGGCGCCCCTTAAAGGGCCCGCAGGCGCGGCGCGGACTCCTCCTAGGGATCGGAGGGCGAGGCTCCCCGCCCCTGCCGGACGCAGGAACCTGCGGATCCGGGTCGGGGCCCGCCCCGGTTGTCCTGGGGACGGCGGCGGGTTGCTAGGTCGGGAGTTAAGGACCTGGGAGGCAGGTCCAAGCCGCAGGGCAAGGCGGGACCTGGCTCTAGCATCCTGCAGAACCTGGCGCGCGGGGCGGGGGGTTCCCGAGGATGCGCCGGCCTTGAGGCCCAGAGCTGGGGCTTCGGATCGCGGGGACTGCACCCCTGGGGGCTCGGCGTTCCCGCCTGCGCACTGCGGGCAGGGCCCAACGTCCGGGACGAAGAGGCCCGGGTGCTGCAGGGCCGAGAACGCGGCGTGTGCCAGGCCAGTGCGGGGGCGCAACCCTAGCTCGCTGCGGCCTCGAACTCCCGACCTCGAGCGATTTCCGGCCTCAGCTTCCCGAGGGGCCGGGACCACAAGCGCGTGCTACCGTGCCCGGCTAATTTTTGTGTATTTTGTAAGGGGGGGGTCTCCCTGTGTTACCCAGGCTGGTCTCGAACTCCTGGCCTTAATGAGGCACTGTGCCTGGCTGGACAGATATTTGTTTATTTTTATTATTTTTCTTAAATTATTTCTTGAGTCGGAATCTCACTCTGTTGCCCAGGCTGGAGTGTAGTGACATCACCACTGCCACCGCAGCCTACCCCTCCTGGGCTCAGGCGATCCCTCTGCCTCAGCCTCCCAAGAAACTGGGAGCCACAGGCATGCACCCCCACTCCTGGCTGATTTTTTTTTTTTTTTTGTAGAGACGAGGGGCCGCCAAGTTGCCCGGGCTGGTCTCGAACCCCTGGGCTTGTGCGATCCTCTGGCCTCCGCCTCCCAAAGTGCTGGGATGACAGGCGTGAGCCACGGTGCCGGGCCTAAGCAGATATTTCTCAAACCCCTACTTTCCGGGTGAGAATATTCAGCGCTAACAGTTCTATCACTTGTATCCCCATTCTAGAGCTGGGGAGACAGCGGAACCGCTGGGAGGGGCTGGAACTGACCCCAGACTGGAAGTTTGAAAATACTGCTGGGCTGGACCCCCAGACTGGAAGTTTGAAAATACTGCTGGGAAGATGGTGGCGAGGGAGACCACGGGGCTGCCTCGTGACCCGGCAGCGCCCTGGGCTTCTGTGGCCAGGGCAGGGGCTGCCCCTGCTCCTGGGGTTACCAGGTGCTGACCGCGGCCTGTGGTCAGACTCCAAACAACCCGCCCAAATCGCCTCCCTGCCCTCCTTGTGGCACCTGTGCTCACTGCACTCCAGCCTCCTCCTTGCTGCTCCTTGGATATGTCCAGTTATTCCTCCCTGCCTCTGCGGTTCCCTCTGCATGGGATGCCCTTACCCGAGACAACTCCCAGACTGCCTCCAGGTCTTTGCTCAAACGTCGCGTCACCTCCCCAGCCCTGCCCTCCTCCGCCGACACCTCCTGTAATTATTGCTCCAGCTGTCTGTGTCCTCCGACTCCTGCCTGCTTGGGTCACCACAGTGCCCGGGGTAGGTGCCCAGTACATAGTTGGTGAGTAAACACATGCCTGGCTGGGCAGGGGGGCTCACGCCTGTAATCCCAGCAATTTGGGAGGCCAAGGTGAGAGGGTTGCCTGAGTCCAAGGGTTGGAAACCAGCCTGGGCAACGTGGCAAGATCTCGTCTCTACAATCAATTTTAAACAATCATCTGGGCGTTGTGGCATGCGGCTGTGGTTCCAGCTTCTTGGAAGACTGAGACAGAAGGATCGCCTGAGCCCAGCAAGTTGAGGCTGCGGTGGCTGTGAGTGTGCCACTACACTCCAGCCTGGGCGACAGAGTGAGACT